CCTCAGGAGGTGTATGTGGACCCGGGTGGGGAGTTTGTCTCAGACGCCTGGGCTGCACAAATGCAGGCCGCCGGAATACATGTCCATATGTCAGCAAGTGATTCGCACTGGCAACTTGGCCGGGCTGAGATACATGGGTCGACAGTCAAACAAATGTTGAGCCGCATGGATCTTGAGCAAAGCATTGAAAGTTCGAGTGAGTTTCAGCGGGCTCTGCGTCAAGCTTTCAATGCCAAAAACAGTTTGTGTCGGGCAGATGGTTATAGCCCCCAACAAGCAGTACTAGGGGTATCATGTCGTTTACCGGGTTCAATTCTCTCTGACCACAATGCAGCCTCGCACATGCTTGCCGACAGCGGCACTGAAGAAGGCGGCCGGGTACCTGAAGGACAGAGGTTCCTGCAAGAGCTCCAACTTCGTGAAAGGGCCCGAAGGGCATTCATTACAGTGGATAACAGCTCCAGCTTCAGAAGAGCCCTCCTTCGGAGGACCAGACCCGTTCGAAATCAGTGGGAAGTTGGCGATCTTGTTTTATATTGGCGTCGCCGTGGTAGCAACATGCGCAGAGAACACGGACGCTGGCATGGGCCTGCAGAGATCATCGCCTTGGAGAAGTCCAAGGTGGTGTGGCTCAGTCACTCCGGACGACTGATTCGGGCCAGTCCCGAACAAATTCGCGCTGCTTCTCTCCGTGAATGGCAGAACATTCCCAAGGATGACAAGGGCCATCCACTGGTACAACTGGACAATCTCAAGGATCGTCTCAAATCTGCGCCACAATATGTGGATCTTGAAGGTGAAGAAACTCCTCCAGCCGAAGCTTTGGAACAACCTGTGGTAGAGGGTCTCGAGGGTTCAGAGCCAGACGCTGAAATGATTCCGGAATCCCCTAGTTCACCTGAGTTGCCTGTTTCAGAGCAAAGGTCTGAACCAAGCAATGCACACGTGCCCAGCCGTCCGGAATGTCCTCGTCCTTTGACAGACTCGGAGCTTTCAGAACAAGCACAGAGTAGGGAGGTCCCTCTTCATGATGATGCCGCATCCGAGCAGTTGGACGAGCAGCTTGAGTTTGGGGATGAAGTTGAGGTTGATGATGCATTAGTATGTGATAGTGATGTTTGTTGGGAAATTGATATAACTCCCCCAGAAGGTTGGCAGCTGCCCGCTCAACTTGATGAGGACATGATCTTTCTGGCAAGTGAAGGGCGAAAGAAGCGCACTGAGGTTCGTCTTCGGGATCTCACAGTTCAGGACCAGAAACGTTTTGCTGCAGCTAAGAATAAGGAGGTTCATGCTTGG